CACAAAAATCAACTCAAAGTGGATCAAAGACTTAGGCACGAGAACAGAGACCCTGCCTATAGAAGAAAAAATAGACCCTAATCTTCACCATGTTGGCCTAGGATCTGACTTCCTTAACAAGACTTCTAAAGCACAAGAAATAAAAACAAAGAATCAATATATGCGATGGATTCAAATTAAAAAACTTCTTCTCAGCAAAGGAAACAATCAATACCACGAGGAGAGCACCTACAGATTTGGAGAAAATCTTTAACACATGCACCTCCAATAAAGCATTAATCTCTAGGATATATAAAGAACTCAAAAAACTCAACACCAAAAAAAAAATAAGCCAATCAATAAATGGGCTAAGGAACATAACAGAGACTTCACAGAAGAATAAATACAATAAATCAACAAATATATGAAAAAGTGTTCAACATCTCTAGCAACTAGAGAAATGCAAATCAAAACTACACTAAGATTTCATCTCACTACTGTCAGAATGGCAATCATCAAGAATATAGCAACAAAAAATGTTGGCGAGGATGTGGGGAAAAAGGTACACTCATATATTTCTAATGGGACTGCAAATTGGTTAAACCACTATAGAAAGCACTATCAACATTCCTCAGAAAACTTGGAATGGAACCACCATTTGACCCAGCTAACCCACTCGTCAGTCTATACCCAAAGAACTTTAAAACAGCATACTACAGGGACACAGCCACATCAATGTTTATAGCAGCTCAATTCACTATAACTAGACTATGGAACCAATCTAGGTGTCCCTCAATAGATGAATGGATAAAGAAAATGTGTATAAACTCAATGGAATATTACTCATCTTTAAGGAAGAGTGAAATTATGGCATTCACCAGTAAATGGATGGAGTTGGAGGATATCATGCTAAGCAAAATAAGCCAATCCCACAAAACCAAAGGCTGAATGTTTTCTCTAATATGCGATGCTAATTCACAATAAGGCAGGGGGCACTAGAGAAGGATAGGGTTACCTCAGATTAGGTAAAGGGAAGTCATGGGAGGGGAGGGGAGGGAATGTAGGGATAGTAAAGATAGTAGAATGAAACAGACATTATTACTGTATGTATATATGTGACTGCATGACCAATATGATTCTGTAACATGTACACTTGGAAAGATGAGAAATTATATCCCATCTATGAATGATATATCAAAGTGCATAAATGCATTCTATTGTCATGTATAACTAATTAAAACAAATTAAAAAATAAGAAAAAAGGAAGAAAAATAAATTGAATTCAGGGTTGTTGTGTGTTTGCCTCTTCAATTTTACCAAATGTTACTATACTTTCTCTAAAATGACTGTAGTTTACATTTTCAACATTCACAAAAGAAAGTTTTCCCTAGTTCCCCTGTTTCCTGCCAACACTTAATTTTATCAGCTATTTTAATCTTCTCACTCTGGTATATGAAATAACACATTGTTATTTTAAATTGCATTTCCCTGTTTACTAGTGAGTTGAGCCTCTTTTTACATATTTATTAGCCATCTTGTGTTTCACACATTCATATTCTTTGCCCTTTCCCCCCATTGATTTGTTTTGTTCTGACTGATTTGTGGTAGTTATTTACAAATTTTGGATACAATCTTTTGTTGGCTATGTGCTTTGTAAATCTCCCAGTCTGTGGTCTGAATTTTAATTTTGTTCATGGTATCTCTTGTTGAATGTAAGTTTTTTATTTTGGAGGAGCCAGATTTATCAGTCTTTCCCCTAGGGTTCCTGCTTTCTTGGGTCATAATGAAGAAATCCTACCCTACTCTGAAACCAAGAAGATATTACTCTATATTTACTTCTAAAAGTTGTAAAATTTTGTTCTTCATACTTTACTCATCTTAGAACTGGTTGATGAAATGAGATAAAGATATAATTTTAACTTTTCCCTAGGATTGTCACAGGATCATTTATTAAATGTCCAGGCTTCTTTGTAGCACTCTCCAGGTTCATGTGTGTCCCTTATGTGCTGCTTATACTTTTATTTTTATTCCATTAACCTATTTGTCTATTCTTGCATCATTATCACAGTCTTAATTAGATAGCTTTACAATGAGCTTTGAAATATGGTAAATAAGTTTCCTTTTTTTTTTCAAAATTGTCTTAGTTGTTCTTGGTACTGGTCTTTTCTTTCCTTTTATTTTTTTTTAATACCATGGATTGAACCCAGGGGTGCTTTACCACTGTACTACATCCCAAACCCTTTTAATTTTTAATTTCGAGAAAAGATCTCACTAAGTTGCTTACAGACTTGTTAAATTAGAGCTGACCTTGAACTTGTGATTCTCCTGCCTCAGACTCCCAAGCTGCTGGAATTGCAGGCATGCACCCCTGTTCCTAGTGGTAGTGGCCCCTTCTTTATTCAACATGCTGAAAATAAACACAGAAGCAAAAGTGCCTCCATCAGGTCCTCCACATTGTAGGATTTCCACTTTTTCTTTTTTTTCAGGAAACTTAAAGGATTGCTCGTGATCCATCACCTCTGACACACAGATCAAGGGAGAGAGCTGGTATCAGTTCATAGGACAAACTGATTTCTCTTCCTCCTCCTTCCCTCTAAGAATCAAACTCAGGACCTCATGCATGCTAGGTAAGCGCTCTGCCACTGAATACATACATACACCTCCTAGCCCAATAATCTTGTTTTGGTCTGTTTTGCTCTTTCTTTTTGAGGAAAAATAATGCAAAAAGCAATTCTATTGTTTTCTTCTCAAACTTTAGAACAAAAACTTAATACTTTCCTAGTATGCCAGTCACATTTTGAAGACATCTTGAATCAATGAATGGTAAGCTTTTAAAATAAAAGATTCCTCACCGAAACCTGTGACTGAATCACAACTCTCTGGTGGTACAGACTGAAAATTTTTATTTTTAATAACTACCCTGGATAATTGTGTTTTACTTCTAGATTAAGAACCATAAGGCCAGTTAATTTAGTTTACCAAAATGTCTCATTATTCTAGGAGTGAAAGTAGACTTTCCGGCCCTAGGTGGCGCTCAGGCTTCTCCCTCCTGGTTCTTATGTCTTCACCCCTTCAGATTTCAAGGAGATGGAGCCAGGCACACCTGTGTTGCTGTGTTGCTTAGGTCCTTGCTTAGTTGCTGAGGCTGGCTTTGAACTCATGATCCTCCTGCCTCAGCCTCCTAAGCCATTGGGAGCCTACACAGGTTTTTTTATCTGTTTGTTTTGAATTTTTATGTGGTGCTGAGGATTGAACCCAGTGCCTCACATATGCTTGGCAAGCACTCAACCACTGAGCTACAACCCCATCCCCTCCTATCCAGTTTTTTATTTTGTCTTCATAAGCCCTTGAAAAGCCCAGTAAGCCTCAAGCACTGTGTCTGTAGCCCCGGCAGTGTAGACAAGCTCTGTTCCACCTTTGTGGGTGCATTGATCTCTTTGCTATTCTGGGGCATGATTTCCTTGAACATCCTCCTTTATGGCTCACTTGTATTTGGCATCAGAGAAGCAAGACCTAGAAGGCTGAAATGAGGGCTTAAACCCTTTGGAGGAAAGGACTAGGAAAACACTAGCCTACTTTTATTCTAAACCTTAGCTTGGGACACATTGAGGTTAGCTTAATTCATCCGGAAACTGTGTTAAAGAAATCTTATGGTTGGAGTAGAAAGAGCCTGTATTTACTTGGGTCCCTCCTTTAAACTGGATGTGGTGTTCTGTAGGTCGTGCCTGTTCAGAAACCCAGGTTCTGGTAAGACATTATCACTATAAATCGTTTTGGGTTGTGTGTGTGTCTGTGTGTGTGTGTGTGTTTGCACAGGATATATCCTACAGCAAAATAATGTGATTGACCATTACCATTCCTGTAGGTAGAAATCTATGTCTCACTAGTTTGGACTGCTTATGAGATCCTGGGTCCTTCTGTAGCCATTCTGCCCCAGACTGGGCTGGCTATGTTACTGTCTTTCTGTGACCCAGGCAGTTGGGTCCAAAGTGAACTTTGGATGGATCTCTAGGAGCTTCCTTGTTGGGTGATGTTCTACTTTTCTGTTATCTTAGGTGGGCCTCAAGACACTAACACCCCTAGTTGGCATGATTTTCAAACCATTTTTCAAGCTCTTATTCTTTTCTCTAAATCTAGGCATTCCTATGTATTGAGTGTTTTCTTTGTAAGCAGGTAGGAGAACTCCCTCTACTGGACAGACACTGAACTGCTGCCCACCCTAGGATGAAGAAAACTAGTTTTTACATTCTACCTGGAAGAAGAAAATAATTTACTTCTTTGAAGTGAAAAAAGCTTTACAATACAGTTGATCTTTCCCTAGGATGAACTTTCGCCAACCTCGCCCCTTCTCTGCTTTCCTTTGCCAGAGCGGTCAGCTAAGTGTTGCCATGACCCATTGTGGTAATGAGCAACATGACACCAGGTGTTCTCATTGCTGTGGTGTGAAAACCTATGAGGGCCACCAGGCAGGACTACAGGGCCCTTCACTTGTTTTCCTAATGGAGAAGTTTATTCTAAATCAAATTCAATAACAGATTCAGACTAAGCACAGGTTTGGCACAGGTGGGTGATCATTTCTGTGGCTTCCTAATGCAGGGTTGTCTTTCTAATGCTTTGTCAGGTGAGAAACTCTGTAGCTTTCCTGCAGCATGTTCTCTCTCCACTGTGACTCTTTTTTACATCCTTAATTAAAGGCATTGGCCAGACAGTGAAACAGCATATGGACTGAGAGATAGGAACACGTAGGGTATATTGTGACCATTTTCCATCAAGTCAAAGTAACTAGAATATTGGAATACAGAAGATGCTGGAAAGCTGACCTGGGAATAGGTGGAATAGGGCTTTTATTAGAGTCTAGACTTTATCATGACATAAAGGATCATAATCTTGAAAGTCAACAGGGTGCAGGGAGGTATGTAAGTGACTGAAACAGTTGACTGGGGACAGGAAAGAATATGACCTGTCCAAAGGGAGCAACCATGTTTTACTCAGCTGTGACTGCTACATGTGTGTGGTGAGCCGCTTCTGCCGTTTCTGCAGATTATGGTCGCCATTACAAGATGACGCTGGCTCCGCTGTGGTCTGTGACAAACAACTCCTTATCTGGGAAAGTTGGCACATGATTTTTCACCACCCTGTGAGAAAGCTCCACGCGGCAGCTTTGCATTGGGGCTTGGGATGCTTTATTAAGGCTGGGAGGGGCATCAGAGAGGGAGAAGAAGAAATATCAAGGGCCTGAATAAACTGCTGAAAGAAGATTCCTGAGTTGCGTCTTCCTTGCGGGCAAGGGGTAGCGACAAGTGGTGCCGAGACCCGGGAACCAGAACTTTCAACAGTCAGGGGTGGTGCACCGGTTAGTCCCAGGTAAGTGGGATCCGCGATCAAAGCGGGGTTAGTCCCAGGTAAGTGGGATCCGCGATCAAAGCGGGGCAGCTCCTCTGTAATGAAAGAGAGAGCCTTACATTTTATTGCAGCTGCACTGTGTACTTTCGCTCCTACTTTCGCTTTTGTTTTTTGTGCTTCTTTTGTTGTTGTGACGACAGGGACGCTCCCCTGTAAAAGGAAGAGAGCGGGGAATTCATAGAATGGAACGCTCCCCTGTAAAAGGAAGAGAGCGGGGACTTTTGTACTTTCACTTTCTTTATAGCTCTAAAAACATTATGGGCGTTGCTTCTTCAAGCCCAATTTTGTTGGCCCTAGATGGGTTGTTACATTCAAAAGGACTTAAGATAAAGCAGAGTACTTTGCAGATGTTTTTAAGAGAAGCTGATATAGTGGCTCCTTGGTTTGCTTTTTCAGGGAGTCTTACGGTTCCCAGCTGGGACAAATTAGGGAAAGATCTAGATTTCGCTCATGAGCAAGGTACCTTGCAGGGTGGCATTATACCACTTTGGAAGTTAGTTAGAGGATGTATAACAGATGGTAAATGCCAGGAAGCTGTGAGTGAGGGTCAAGCTATTCTTGAGCAGCTGCATGAGGAAAAATCTGAAGGATCATGTAGTGAAGTGGCAGAGAGTATTAAAAGTAACAGTAGTGAGAAGGCAAAAGAGCCTGAAGATAAAAATAGGAGAAGGCTCTACCCAGACTTGACCGAATTAAAAACGCCTGAGAACACAAGCGACTCAGAGAGTTCTGAGGACCTTGATATATTGTTACAACAACTACATAAGATAAAAATGAAAAAGAAGAAAAAGGAGACACAGGGCACGCAGGCCTACTGTAAGAAGGGGAAGGGAGTTAACATCGGTCAACAAAACTCTGAGGAGGAGGAGGTAGAATATCTAGAAGAAGATATGGTGCCGATTGCCCCACCTCCGTATGTGGGGGGAGCCAAGGTTCCGGGAGATCTTTTCATGCACAAGTTTGGAGGACAGTTAATACAGATATGGGACTTGCATACCCTGTATTTCAGGACAATAACAGGGGAAGATATCATGAGCCTTTAGACTTTAAGATAATTAAAACCTTGGCAGAATCTGTCCGCACTTATGGCATAGATGCCGCTTTCACTCTCACTCAGGTGGAGGGACTTACTAGATTTTGCATGACTCCCTCAGATTGGGCTAGTCTAGTCCGCGCTTGTGTTTCCCCAGGGAAATATTAGGAGTCCAAAGTTGGCTGTTTAATGTTTCTGGCAGTACCCAAGACTCGGAGCGAGGTAGGAGACTTAAAATTTCTGCAAATAATTCACAATTGTTTAATGCTACATTACCCTCCGCAGCAGTCTGTCTCCAATCTCCGTTCCTGTTTCTTTTGGCTAATGTTACATCACAGGGGATGCTTAATTGCTCTAATATTACCTGTTACTTCTCTGAGTGTTGGAATGGATCCTGGCCTATGGCAGTGGTTATGAAAATTCCAACTTTTGTCTCGATCCCGGTTACTGCAGATACAGAGTCTTTTCCTATTGTTGAACTGATTAGAGCCCGTAGAGATTTTGGAATTACGGCAGCCATAGTGACAGCTGTGGCGGTATCTGCTGCTGCAGCAGTTATAGCTGGAGTAGCCATGGCCAGCCAGGTACAAACTGCTGCCACTATTAATCAGGTTATTCAACAAACATCCACCATACTTGAATCTCAAAGTAGAATTAATCAACACATTTTATCTGGGATTCTGGCTGCTAATCAAAGGATAGATCTACTTCAAGCTCAAGTTGAGGAATTGTCTGATCTAGTACGTTTGGGTTGTATTGATCAACGTGCACATTTATGTATAACCTCTGTCAGATTTTATGATTCCAGAAATGCCTCCTGCATCATCGGGGAGTATCTATCCGGAACCTGGTCCATGGAAGCAGAAAACTTGATCCAGTCTCAACTAACTCAGATTGCTGTTTTGAACAGTACCCGTGTCGATCCCGTGACTTTGGGTCAGTTCACCGATTGGATATCTTCTGCTTTTTCCTTCTTCAAAGAGTGGGTGGGGGTAGGCATTTTTGGTGCAATGTGTTGCTTCGGTATGTTCCTCTGTTTGTGGTTTCTCTGTCGCCTTAAGGCCCGCAGTGCTCACGATAAGGCTATGATCATACAAGCTCTTGCAGCTTTAGAAAATGGCAACTCGCCTCAAGTCTGGCTTGCGCATCTTAAGCAGTAAACCTTTGTCATGGTCGTTACACCCCAAGTTATTATAACATTGCACTGGGATCGGCATGACTTTCCTTGTTATTCTCTTAGTGTTGGAAAGCCCTTGCACTCTGCCGGTCTTACTGCCATTGCACGCAGATGGGTTTCCACACTAGTGCTTTTCTATCGCCTTGAAGTTCGTGCCTTTCTTTCAGGGTGCTGTCAACTTGTTTGTCATTATAAACAGCCACAGTTCAGCCTCAGCTATCCCCCTTCGTCCACCATCGTCACGATACAGGATGCGAGGCAAGGCACTGCACTTGAGTGATCCTTGACGTGGACCTCAAGGAGAGCATGTCCTATTGCATGCGGGTTAGATGCGTTCACGCCCCGCCCCACGAAAAAAGGCGTCGGCTGATATGGCTTCAGATCTGGGGAAGGCGCCTCCTTAGGACTGAGTCATACTATGCAGCCACTTCTGCACAGTGGGATAGGACCTATACTCTCGCCTGTATTGTTTTAAGAAAACAGAAAAGGGGGAACTGTGGTGAGCCGCTTCTGCCGTTTCTGCAGATTATGGTCGCCATTACAAGATGACGCTGGCTCCGCTGTGGTCTGTGACAAACAACTCCTTATCTGGGAAAGTTGGCACATGATTTTTCACCACCCTGTGAGAAAGCTCCACGTGGCAGCTTTGCATTGGGGCTTGGGATGCTTTATTAAGGCTGGGAGGGGCATCAGAGAGGGAGAAGAAGAAATATCAAGGGCCTGAATAAACTGCTGAAAGAAGATTCCTGAGTTGCGTCTTCCTTGCGGGCAAGGGGTCGCGACACATGTGAATGCTTTTTTCCCAAGCAAGTCTGTATTTTTACATTTTGGCAATTAATCAAATAATAATAATAATAATAATAAACCTCAGCTTAGACCACCTGGTGGGATAGGTTACTGAGATACTGGAGCTGCCAAGTGGTGGGGACCTGAACTAAGGTGTAGTCAATGAAAACTTACCAATCTCTGCTGTTTTATCACTGGAGTCATGATTAGCTGATTCGCTCTCTTTATGAAAAAAAAAATTGAGAATAAGATTGAGTTTCCAGCCTGACAAAAGACTGTTCAGCATCTCCTCCATATGCCATACCTAACCCTTAGAAATAAGTAAAGCATTTACGACAGACCTCACTTTTGTATGGCTGTACACAGTAAGTGCTTAGTACATGATAAATAAATTACTGCAAGAATGTTTCATTGCCTCTCAGAAAATACAGCTTTTCAGATTGGATGAAATCCTGTGCCCTACAATACTGATGACAGATGGCTTTGTGATAGGGCAATAAAATAAAAAACAAGTTACCTCATGACTGACCTAATTAGAAGCCAAGTGAGGGTGCTGAAGCACATTATTTTTATGTAGGAAGAAGGAATCGATCCTGAGAAGTTCCAGGATACAATACTTCTGCAAGGCCTCAGGAATAAAGTTTAAGCTTCAGAGTATTAAACACTCTAGTACAAAAGAAGGCAATAAATAATAAATAATGTAAAAGCTTCCATTGTTAGACCCAAGCTGCTTGCAGGAACCCCTTCCTTCATTCACTCACTTCCTATATCTTTATTAAGAAATGGCTCTTTATCAGGCACTGGGGGTACAGCAGTGAAGAAGACATTGCCCTTGCCCTTATAAGAAGATAACAACACAAGATGGAAATGTGCCATAGATAGGTAGGCATAGGGTATTTTGTAAACACTTAGAAGGGCATCTAGACAAGCCTGCAGGATCGGGGCTCATGAAGGTGATTTGTAGAAGCAGTGTCCCTGTTGGGAATCATAGGATAAGTGGGCGAAATCCACAAGAAGCTACTTTTTGGTGGGCAGGAGGAAATGGAAATGGGCAGGGGAACGTACCAAGAAAAAGAAAGTGTACTCAAGCCCAGGAGGTAAGAGCTAGCCTAGTGTGGCCCCGGAATGAGAGTTGACAGCCTAAAAGGAAAGTAGGGATATGAGGCTGGAGCTATAATTAGATGGTAATCCTGCAGGGCCCTTAAACTGCATTAAGGAGTATGGATGTTATTTTATTTATTTTTGGTAATGGGGATTGAACTCAGGGGTGCTTAACCACTGAGCCACATCCCCAGCCCATTTTGTATTCGATTTAGAGACAGGGTCTCACTGAGGCTGGCTTTGAACTCATGATCCTTCGGCCTCAGCCTCTGGAGCCACTGGGATTGCAGGACCTTGACACAGCCCCTGCTGGATGTTATTTTAACACAAAGGGAAACTACAGAATTTGAATCAAGAAACTCACCAAGAGACTCACATGATCTCATATTTTAGAAAGGTCACTTTGTGGTAAGAAGGGATCAATTAGGAGCTTGTTGGCGGTAATCCAGGAGAGCCCTGACGCTGAACCTGGAAGAGTAGCAGTGTAGTCAGAGAGTACTGCGCAGGTGCCAAGGTTCTAGGAGGTGAGAGTGCACTCTCCCTCCCGCCCACCCACACTCCTCTAATTCTTTTTTAAAACAATTTGACTCTATAGTTTTCCTAAAACATTCAACTCTTTCTTTTTGCAATCACATTTTATCAGATTATTTAATATTTAGTTATAGTGCATATAAAATAAAATTTATATAAGAAACTAACATTATTGGTAAATACATACCTCAACTAGTGGGACAGGGCATTTATCAAACATCTAGAGCATAGGTCAGAATTTTTATAGAAAGGATGAGAAATATATATATTTATCAGCTGATGAATTGAGACTGTTTAAGACAGCTTATATAATAGAAATTTTTATGAATATAAATGCAGCAATATTTCCTTTTAACTTCTAAATTGCAAAATCATCTTTTAAAATAAAATTTCTACCACTCAGTCTTTCAGATTCGCCATTCTTGTCTTTTTGCTTATTTTAGGAGCAGTAAGGCATAAGCCTTCCTTATTTTCCAAATAAAAAATAGAACTCCATATTACAATGATGATCTTAATGCTACACCAAGTCTTGGTAGGTCAAGCAGAAATTTCATAATCAAAAGGACCTTTGCCTTTTTCATTGTTTCTTAAATTTTTGAAAATCTCCCAAACCTACTCGTATGTAGAGATGGTGATTGGATTGCTGACTTCCTAAGTCATTGCTTTGAGCTTGGAGTCAGGGGCCTCTTTCAGCAGTCTTCATTCATTTTGAGGGCTGTTCATTATCAATGTGGCTTCACCTCTCCACCTCACACTGACCATGAGTATTTTAGAAGAGGTCTTATTTCCCAGTCTCCTAAAAAGTCTCCGGTTTCCTCATCCTGCCTCTCTAAGCCTTATTTCTTTTACATAAACTAAAAGAGATAAATCAAGATTATCAGGGCATTGCTATGTTGACAAAATAAAATTCTTGTTCCAAGAATAGGTAATCCTGCTGACTTCCTTAGTCTTTTTGATAGAAAAAAAAAAAGAAAGAAACCATTTCCCTGTTGAATTCAATATTTCTCCTATTCCTCTCTTCATGTTCCTCCTTCTCTTGGCACCATTATCCTATTATGGATCTGGAATACCAACAAATGTGAGTAGCATCCTGGTCTCTTTCTTTAAATCTCCCAAGAAATCAATTTTCCCTTCTAAATGTGTCTTCTGGACTTTACCCTCACTGCTGCTTAATTGTCTCACCTGGATTCCAGCTTTGGGCTCCTGATTTACCTCCTTCCCATCAGATTTTACCCAGATGTAATCAAGTCATCCCCGTTGCCACCAGACTGATGTTTCTGAAACACAGATTTGTGTAGGTGTGGCATCTGTCTGTTTAAAACTCCACCCAGTTTCTCAGGCCCTTTCAGAGCAGAGCCCAACCTGCTTACCTCCCCCTACTTGCCTCTTCAGAATGCGTAGGTTCCCCCAATCCGCTGCACACTGTAATGCCTCTGTGCACTCTGTGTGTCCCCTCAGTCTAGATGGCTCGTCCCGGGTTGGAAACATGGAAAACTCCTTCTCATCTTTTAAAACCCGTGTTTTAGTTTTTTCCTCCA